TCTTCTTGATACAATTCTAAGAGAGTCTCAAGATCTAAAGAACATTTAAGAAAAAAAATCTACCTAACATAAAAACAAGTGTCTATAGAATCAATGAATGCTTCTAATTTTCTTTAAAATCTCATTTTTTATAAGATTGTGTGTAAGATAGATAAAAAATAAAAATAAATAAATAAAACTTTATTGTTAGTTTGATTCCTACAAAATTAAAGATTATATAAAATACCAAAAAATTAGGCCCTTTGACTTGATAAGATAGACATTTAAATTTTTTCAAACTTTTTGATAATTTATTTGAGCAAACTATATTGCAATGATCAATTAAGCTCTTATAAATGGCCAATTTACATAAAGCATTATTAAAGACCATATGACTTTGCTCTACAAAAGAAATATTAAATCACCTTTTAGAAATTAAAGATCCATTATTTTTATTTCATACAATCTAGAAAAATTATGCCAAGGTTCTCTAGAAAAAACTTTAAGCAATTTTCATGGAAGTAATTTATTCAAACTAAGTAGCATCTCTTTTCTTGCAAAATATTCTTGATAATTTTCTTATTAAACATAAAACAATAAATTGAGCCAAGTCCTTCTATCAATCTCTTCTTCTCAAAATCAATTTTTCAAAAGCCTACAATAAAATCTTATGGAATTTTATTTTTAAATCATCAAAAAAAATATTTTAATGCTTATTTCTTTCAAGTAACAAAAAGTATTTTCAATGATATAAGCACCATTGGTGGTATTAATATCTCTTTTACAAACTTCTTTTAATTTGAAAGAGGGATATGACAAGGATGTCTTCTTGCTATATGCATCTTTATTCTTATTTGTGAGGTCCTCAAATATTGCCATTTAAAAAATGTTTAAAGATAATAAGCTTTATATTATCTTTATGCCACAGAAAAATAGTTTAAAAATTATAAAATAATATATAAATGATTCAACCATCATTACAAAAATAATAAGAATAATATTTGTAATTTGATAGAAATTCTTAACCAATTTAGTCTAACATTGGGTATAGAAATTAACTTGTCGAATTCATTTGCTTGTTGATAGTACAAAAAGATTCATTGACTTACATAGATTAATGACTTTGAATGTGCTTAGACTACTTCAAATATATCAATAAGTTATAAAGAACCTTCGTTGGCTTATCTTTATATATAAGAAATATTCTTCAATTTCTTATTAAAAAAATGACTTATAAATTAGACATTAATAGTCTATAAAACTAAATATAGCTAAAAAGTTATTATTGCCAACAATATACTTTTATCATTTCTATATTACTTTCTTGTTGTTTAAATGGTTCTATAAGGACTATTTAGAAAATTAAAACAATGATCAAAAACCTCTTCTATGGTAAAACTTCATCTTATATGTGTGCCAAAGTAGTGTGGTCTATTTGTTGTAAGGCTTGTGCAAAAGATGACCTTGATTTGATTGATCTTAAGGATGCGACTAAAATTCTTTTTATCAAGTAGTTTTTAAGGTTCTTTAACATGGTCATGTAAATATTTAGTAATTTCTTAGTTTTAGAGTAATACAAGCTAAACCAATAGCTCTTTGTAACTGACTCTTTGATTATTTTTATTTTTTTTATCCCAAAAATTCAGCTCAAGACTTGGTTCAAAAATATAAAATAATATCAGTGAAGTATAGGCATAAATGCATGCACACATATATCTTAAATGCCCCTCTTCTTTTCATCTTTTCATGAAATGTAGAATAGATTTCTATGGTAGAATCTAAGATTTCTATTTAAAAATTCCTACCTAAGCTTTTATAAAGCTGTAACTTTGTATTCATATGGACTTCAAAGAGTTAAAAATTAGTTTAAAGATCTTTTACAACTCTTGTCTCTTGACAAAGTTAAAGTAAAATATATATATTTATTTGCACATTGGTTATATATCTTATATTAATATTTAAAAAATATATAAATAATTCTTTAAATAATCCAAGATATTCTTGAATCTTAAGATTGGATTAATTTTGATACTTCAAAAATTAATCAACTATTTTTTATAGTCTTTCAACTTCCCACCAAACATAAAAAACTTAAAGAAGACAAATGGTTCTTTCTACCACAAAACACTAAAATCAATAGTTTTTGTGTAAGCTTCAAATCAAAAAATTTCTACTATAATGAAAATTTATTCATCAACTAAACTGGAGAACATTTTAAAAATAATGCAAATAAGTGGCAATTTTCCTAAAACTTAATAGGATGTCTCTTAAAAAACTCTTTTAGATGTGGACACTTTAAGTATTAATATATTTTATCTTCTACATAGTAAGCTTAACTCTAATTTCAACTCTTATTTTCTAATAATTCATAAAAAGCTTATAACTTATACATTTAAGTTGATGAGAAAGTTATTACAAAGAAATTTTTTCAATACAAATTACACTATATGCCCTCACCAAGTTTCTGAATCCATCCTACACAAATTTTGAAAATACCATCAAGCTTGTAAAATTTGGAATTGATCAACTTTGGTTTTATATAAATTGGCATCCATACCTTAGAAATGGGGGCTTAAGAAAACAATTTTATGCCAACAAGAGAACTTTGTAAAAAATATCCCTTATTAATTTAAAGGCTTATGCAAGATCTAATCTTTGTTAAAAAAATCTCAATTTGTACATTGTATGGATTTAAAAAAATAAGTTTATCTTTGAATATAAAATATAGAATGATCTTCATACTAGAAGTTTAATTTGGAGTGGTTAAATAGAATATATATATATAAATTATATGAACTATATTTAGAAGAAAATTTTAAAATATCCTAAATTAAAATTAAGCCTATTCAAAGAATGGAATAAGTATTGGATGACAAAATGCTTAATTATTTTTAGTACATATAAGGTTGTTAAATAGAACTCTAAAATATCATAAAATGCTTTAATAATTTATGAAAATATAGATGAGTAACAAATTATAGTAGTTGATTTGTATTGTATCCTCAATTTGGCTTACTTGGGCATTAAGAATTAAAATGATCTTTTGTATTTAATTGGCACCCAATTAATGCATTAGATAAATCTCAATTTTGTGTTAAAATTAAAGTAAAATAATTATAATTTTAAATCTAAAAGATAATAGTTAAATGTTCTTAAAACAAGGTGATTTAAATCATTTATAAAATATACATATAGTAATTTTTTTGTTATTTTTAATCACTTCTAAAATTATATAGATTTCTTAAATAAAGAATGTAATGAGCCTTATTTAAGATTTAAAAATAAAAAAATATATGAATTTAAAATTTTTGATGAGAGCCAATTAAGTAATATATTTTATTAAACATAAATAAAGTATTTTATATTTTTACAAAAATATTTTAAAAAATACTCTTTAATCTTAAATTTTTAATTAAATTTATCTATATTTGATGTATCTTTAATCTAAGAAGATTGACAATAAAATATTAAAATTAATAATATATCAAGGACATGAATTACAACAAAATTCTAAAGAAGCAATTACACTTTTATAACAAATCAAAGATAGATAAAAGATAGAAATTAAAATAGTTATTGTTGAATACTAAGAAGCTAGATATTCTTGAATTAAAACAAAAAGACAAGAATCAAGAAGGTATATATAGAAGCCTTACTTTTACCTCTATATATACTATCTAATTAAGACATTACATGATGATATTATATGTGTCCAACTTATAGGATATATGACTAACATAAAAGGTAAATTTCCAACATGTGCATCACATAGCCAATTTGTATCATAAGTAGCCAATATAAGCAACATGTGGCCAACTTATTGGCCAAATTTTTTAATCTATTAATTGTCTACAAACACTTGTAAAATAAAATTTGTAATTACAAAACTTCTAAAAAGCTTCTCTAAAAGATATTACCAATTTTACTTACTTTTATTTTTATCCAATTTATCTTATTCCTCAAATTATTCATATCAATATTGGTGTTCGCGACACAATACAAGAAAAAAAACTCACATTTCATAAGTATTTAAATTTTTACTATTATATACAAATATCTCAATTTTAAAAAATGATTTTTTTCTAATATAATAAAATTTTACTTATTTTCAATTCTAATTAAAAAAATGTGGATAATATCCATTATTCTCAAGTATATTTACATAACTCATACATATACTTATCTATAGAACATTGCTACATTCAAATAATAATTTATTATGATTATAAGAGAAGAAAGACACCATAATATACCTAAGAAGCATTTATTCATGTCATGTTTTAGGCAAAGGAATAAAAGATGAAGCTAATTGTTAGAAATTTATCACTTTGTATCACTCTATGTAGACATCATTCATCCAAAATACTTTCAAACTCAAACCTTACAACAAACTCAAAATCTATTCATGCTACAGAAACATATGGAAACAGATACAAAGGAAATTGTTTCATACCTCCTCAGTTTTATTTCATAATTCATTGCTTCAAATCTCAAGAATAACCTCTTCCTCAAGGATTTCCACGTGAATTACACATGCACCACAGTTCTTTGAAGATTTTACTGTTCTCAGCACTACTGGACAATGTACTACACAATGTGTTTTCAACAGTACGCTGTCAAAAAATAGGGGAAAACAGAGTTGAATAAAATATGAGATGAATAAGATACAAAGGCTTTTGGACCAGGATAAACTGGGGACTATACTGTTGCAACATTGATGACCAAAAGGAAGTCAGAAGGTGGTATATCAAGTCAAGCTTGCTCCATCAGGGCTTCCGGTTCTTGTTAGTATTTAAGCTTACGCCACCGATGTAGTTCTAAGGATGAGAGTCAATCTGTTTACCAATATTGCCTAAGGATACCTAAAAGATCATGTTTAAAATGATGCAGTATTTGAAAATGTTAAAAACAGTTAAAAACGAGAAAGTAATTGAGATAGGTTCACTTACAAGCGAGGTGAAGTAAGGTGTCATAAGCTTGTGAACTGAATGTTGCGTAATTCAATCCCAAACGAACGGAAAAATCGAGAATGAACTTGCTTTCAGTTGCCATTAGATGATACCAGACACTAACCATGTTAAGCAGGTTCCTTACAATCAAAGAAGGATATACGGCTTGCATTCCGGAGTACAGATCATGGACTGCCCTGTTTCTATTTACAATAGCATAATCTGTAACGCCTGACAATCTTCTCTTGAAAAGCTAAGAGTGTGATGCAAAAAGTGCCGTGCTAGGGCAATCCTCCAACTTTATACTCTCTGAGACTAACTAAATCCTCACACCCTCTTAACGGGTGATTATGCCACTCAATTTAAAGTTTGCACCCATTCCTCAGTACATATACCTATTCAGGTCAAAAGTAAATACCCTATGCCATCTTGTGATACGTTCCCGATTTCTGGGGTGTGGATGAAGAAACGCTAGTGTACAATGGTTTCAACTATTTTGGTAGCTTGACAGCACGGCATCTGTGTATACAGCAAATATTTGCGTGTCTGCAAAAAGCTGCAACCAAGCCAGATATTCTAAGCAAAGAAATAACGACGTGCTTCCGGGACACTAGACATAAATGTATTGACAGTTGGAAGTCGAGCAGTGCTATCAAAAAGAAACATGAACAAGTCAAAAAGAATTCAAAATACCTTGATAAATGCTTGCTCCCGTGAACAAAATGAATCAATGAAGCTATCTTTGAGTAACAGAGATACCTGCCCACATCACAAAACATATAGTTTAGATACTATAAAACGTGGACATGAATTTGTTAATAAAAAAATGTTGATGTACTAATTTAATACTTAGTTAATAGAATTAAGTATGAGGCACTGTTTTGCTACATTTTCTCTATCATGACTATGCAGGGAGTACAACCTTATCCAAACTTTGTAAGAGTGTCCTTAATGTGAGTTTAAGCAGTTGCTGAACTAAGTATAGTGGCTTACTAAGCATGCCAACACAGCTAAAACGTATTCAGGAGGTAAGCATATCAATAACCTAAAAACATGCGAACTATTTTATGTGGGAATCAAATAGCAGAAATGTTGAACAAAGAAAAAATTGAAATAAAGTAGGCTGAGCAACCCACATTTAGAATGGGAGGAAAGAACCTGATTGAAGGATTTACCTTATCATTATTAGATTGCACATTAGTGATGGTATGGGCTCGCAGATTATTGCACAGTGATTCTGTACAGTACTTTTGTAATACATGAAGAAACCCCTCCACTGCCCTTGCCTGCAAACAAATTCCTAACATTTTAGATATAGAGTTTTCATACAGCCACTAATCACCTTGAATGGTAACACAGGAAAGGCAAGGATTGACTTCTTCGAATCACCAACGTGTAATGCGTAAAATCAGTAAAACTTCTTGAGTAAGGAATAGCAGGAGTGCGAAGAATTCAGTAGTAAATAAAACGCTGAACATGTCGGCTATCGAATAACCAAGACAGACCTGGGTTTCATTAGTGTGATGAATTGGATGCCTTCTAGCTGAGACACTCTCTGCTGCCAGTTCTGAGTAGAATGGTTCCAGCTCAGACAGCAGTTTATTGTATGCAGGAAGTGGCGGGATTGAAGACATTGATACCTGCAATATAATACATGTCTGAAATAATCACTTTCCAAGAAAAATACCATCTGATATTAGAACCCATCAAAATCTGAAAGAACCGCACGTTCGAGTAAAATTAAACTCACTTCCCTCCTCTGAAAGAAAAAATCTTAATATACCTACACCGACGACTAGAAAGACCCACCAGCAGTTTAGTAGTTAGTGAGGTTTACCTTATCCTTTGAGACGTTAACACGAACTAAATGAGACAATTTTGACTGCACTTCTAAGGTCTTGTGCTGAACACCAACCTACAAAAGGAAAGGATGTGAGTCCTACCTCTCCCCACAAATCACCACAAGATGAACTACATAATAGCATGCTCATTCACAGTTGTTCTTCAGCATAATGATCGTCAGAAGGATCAACGATACGCGTTGCAAGTACAGTAGGGTAGATGAGTATGAACAAAACACAGTGAATTGTGTTCAAAAGACGAGCATCAAAAGTGTCTGGTATAAAACCCATATTCCTGAAAAGCACTTTGGAACTGAAAACTTGAAAGGGGGCAGGGTGCTCACAATGAAAGGCACCGGAGCATCCAGAAAGTCCAGCATGTTGTTAGGAAGAACCTGATCAAAAAAATAGGGTTATCAGAATTAGTCTTATCCCAGGAAAAGGAGGGAAGGAGAAAGGGAAGGAGAGGGGACTTAGTAAAGCTGAACTATTCAACGAACAACTTCGCACGAGTATTCTCTCCTATTTTCACACTAGAACGTGCCTCGACAGTGTATCTAACATCAAACGAATCAAGCCTAGGCAACCATGACAAGAAATTCATAGCTGCTAGTGGAACTGCCATTAAAATTAATCCCAGGGTCAAAGATCACTCTACAGAGTCACATAGATTGAAGATTTCAGGGAATAATAAGCTCGCAATAACCTGTTAACAGGATAGCCAGTCTCATACTATGTGTACAAACCAGATCTTTGATGACATAACAATAAACTCACTGGAAGAAGCAGACTTTGCCACTCATATGGTCGTATCATCGGCTTCATCGCTAACACCACCGCTGACAAAACCCCCTGCCATGAAAAACGATGCAAAAAATAATTTAGTTATCAAAGTAATCTTCAGCTAAAAAACTCCCATGAAATTAAAGTCTGCAAACTCCTGAAAACCTTCGCAAAGGACTTCGCTGCACCACAAAACTAGGTTGGTTTTACAAGGTTAACACAGATGATGCGGTAATCTGCTTAATTACAACATCACCCTATCCATAGAAACAGGTTTAGCTGGTCTCAACAATATCCTCAAATGGTGATGAAATTTACTGACCAGATTAGGGCAGATGACCACCATTTGCTTCTCCAACAAGGCACACGCAAATATGGCCAGCACCTGAAACCATTAACCGTCTAAGTAACATGAAAAAAATAAATCCCTGACGACCACAGCTTCCTCGAAAAGCAAGCATTGCAGAAAAGAGCCAAGTAAATGCATGTTCAGGACGAAAATACAAAAAGTTTCCGTACGTTCTGAAGGGAAAGTTCTCTACAAATTGTGGCGACTGTCCACACAGCTAGTGCTTCACATTCTTCTGCAGCCATGGCTGCTGCTCGAGCCTAAAGTCAAAAAATAAATAAATAAATAAAAAATAAATCATCAATAACGTAGTATTTCACACTGGCATTCCAAGAATCTGTAGTATGAACAGATCAAGAGTAAATTATACAAAACAAGTTCGAGGAAACAAAAAATGCATCGACAAAACATGCTGACATGTTACAAGACGAAAAAAACAAGAAATCCACTAATGTTTCTATGCACCTATTTAAAAATAAATCAGTAATGTCACTGAATACAACTGTCTATGCCCCATAAATGATATAAATAGTACGTCACAGTATTGTAGGACCTCAAACTTCACAGTACCAAGAGTTTGTTCGTAGAACTACAGTAAATTTCAAACTTAAAAAAGTCACAGAAACCCACACAAAGAGTTTTTTTAACAATGTTGTCATCAATAAGAGCTATTCCGTGCAAAATAAGATAAAAGAAACAGGAATCTGAAAGTTCTTGTACTGCATTACAAAGCGTATCATAATTAGAAATTAAAAACCTCAGCAACTTCCAAATTGCTCTTGCACGTCTTCAAGTTCGCCACTCCATTCCCTGAGCTAGGCATCGCCTTGCCACCTCTGGTGAAAGTTACTGACGACAAGTGTTCCAACGGCTGAAATTGGATAGTGTCGCCACGCATAGGGATGAAAAGCCGATGATAATCAACCACTATCCGCAAGGAATCGTTCTTATTAGCCTGGCACACAAATTCCGACAATTTGTAATCGGAACATGTACAGACAAAACGGATCAACCCTGCATCTATTCGAGATGTAGTCCTTATCTATAAACTTATTTCAACTTCATATTGCCAAGAGAAGAGATGAGATGAAAACCCTTTTGAATCAAAACCCCAAGCTGAACATATATATACAAAACACATAATCTGAGGTTAAGAATACTCTTGGAGCTTTTCGATAAATTGTCAAAATCCACGCGTGAAGAAATGGGGATAAATCATACACACACCTCAGCCCAAGCAAGTACTGCTTCAGCTCCAAAAGTGTATTCCTGCCCGGAAGGGGAGGTCTCATCGTCATACTCATCGTCAGAATCATTGCTTCGAAGAGAGTCGGCATTCAAACCATAGCTGCAATGTAAACATTCAATAAAACCAAATCAGTTTCATATTGCTTGTTTGTTATGAAGCGAACGTTAAACCACGGAGTTGTTGCGTCTCTTATGAAAACAAATGTCAAAACTTACTCTAAAAAAAACTTCCAAAAATCGTACTACACAAATACCTGTACACTGACTCAGAGCTGTCAACGCGCTCGTGCCCTCTGCTGCTGGACTGGGGTGGCATGGTGCCAAAACTAGAGCTGGAGCCCATGTCCTCAGCTCTTTCCAACTTTGCGTTAGAGGGCGGGGTTTTCGTACCCAAATTTGAGAGCTCTATAGTGTCTTCTAAGATTTCTTCTGGATGTACCTGTGGAACACACTGCATCACGTAGTGCGAGAGAGGCTTCACAACCAAACCCCTCCGGGAGGGTCCTATCTTCAAAACACGTGTAAATAAATTTCATGGCAGACAGAAACTTAAATAACGTACAAGCGTTACCTCCGTGCCTCCCCTAAATCCGTTCTGCTGATCTGGACCATGATCTGGCATTTCATTATCAATTTCAGCAGCACGTCCGTTCACTAAAGGTTCTGCTTGAGGAGTGCATGGCTGTGGTGATACACATTCTGAGATTCTGTCTGGAGACATGTGACCAGAACCTTTGGAAGCAAATGAGTCCATTTCACTAGCAGAAATTAGTCCTGCTGCAGCAGCCGTTGCGCCTAGGACACTATCAACAGGTATAGCGCTCTCCATCCATCCGTCAGGGTCATCAGGGGAAGGAAAATTATGTCGAGCGTGATTCTTAGAATCCACTTTCACCATAGGTGGTACTTCTACAAGACTCATCTCCTTAACACACTCCGTAATCCGATCCAGTCGCTCCTGCGCAATTATGCTATTAAGCGAACAAACAATATACACGACCATGTCAGTTTCACGACAACAAAGAAATAATATGTTACAGAAGACTGTCACCGAGAGTAAACAAATACGAGGTCAAATAAATGTCCAGCGCATGGCAGGAATCCTCCATAGTTGCTGGCATGTAAGCTGTCACCCACGAGGGCATCAAAAATCAAGTAGTTTCTTCTCCAATTGCTAAAATAGAGAAAATCTTCATGAAACAAGACGCTAATCGTAACTTACCTGTTCAAAACTTCGAAGTGTATATCGAAGAAAGGCAGCCTTGTGAGGAGGCAATAACAACGAGGGGCGGAAATCAAGAATCGTCCACGAGGTGACCGCTGCGGAGATAATTCTGTGTTCATAGAGAAAAAGGCTGGAGCTCTTTGAACCATTTCAGTAACATATATACACACTCCATACAAAGTAGCGTTGTCGGCAACCTGGTAGACATTAAAACAATATGTTAAAAATGAAATATAAATCAAAGTGGTAAGAAAAAGAGAAACTAGTTTACTAGTTTGAAATGAGCAAATCTAGCATGGTGATACATGACCAAGCAACGACAGACGACAGAACCCCAGCATCAAGATAACCATAGCATGAAGGTGAGAGGCGACACAGACACTGCTAACCTTGAGAAGGAAAACGAACGAATGATCATCGCGATTCTGATGGCTCTGGAAAACGATGGAACAGATTAGAAGAATTAGATTCACTTCAAGAAGATAACATCAAATTGAAAACTGTCAAAATAGTTCCCGCTAAGATAATAATAATCATATTGACCGTTTTTGGATCAGATCAAGGCCATTAAACCGATAAGGCCAAAAGAACTCAAAGATCAGAACCAGTAACATCTGAGTATTTCTGACCTAATGAAGGTGACATCATTCAATAAATATTATTTTCGTTTGAGGGAAATTCTTTGGTCAGTTTTGATATTTACCTGCCCATACATGATCTCATTCAGCTCACTCATAGATGGAGTCCGCTCCATAACTCGAGCCTGCATTCCGTACAAGCACTCGTTCCAAACCGAATGTCTGAGTATCAACATCCCATTTGCTAAACAGAATAGTCCACCAATGTGTAACGTTCTTATCACAGCAAAGTACGGTGATACGAGTAAGATATCAAGCGAGAAGGACGCGATGACATGGATAACGACCATTCGAAGACTGGATATGTATGCACCTCAACTCCCGAAGGAAAGCAAAAGTGGGGCAGCTCACTGCTCTTCAGCGGAAGTCGCTTGCTAAGAGGATATTTAAACAAGACCTGTCAGAAATATACCATAAATGAATATGTTACAAAGATAAGAGAAAGTTCTCTCATCCTAATGAACGGCCGGCTAAATTTGAGCAACAGCGTAACTGCAGACACTGGAACAAAAATAAATATTCTTCCACTAAAGCATTACAAAACGTATCACTCCAGTAAAAAAAATCTATGATCATATATATTGAAGAAGACGTGAAAATTGCTATAACCTCCGGCTCGAGTGTAGGAGCATTATGGTTGACAAAATCTAAGGTTGCTTTTTCTGGATCCCGTTGCCACAGCTTTTTTCTAGCAAACGCAGCCTCTATGGATTGAACATCCGAATGTGCTCTCAGACCCACTACTACAAAGTGCTCAAAGAAAGACGTAGGTTCCTTTTTATGATGTTTTCTTTCCTGCAATTCACACACACACACACACACACACACCGTTTGAATGTCAGCCATTGTAACACGTTCCTTTCACAAACTGATTGGAAGGAAATGCATAAAATTACAAGGTTATAGAAACACCACATATGTCATACTACGTACGGAGGGGCACGGAACCCTGGTAAAAGGCGAAATCTCACCGCAGATAATACTTAACTGTCGCATGTCATCAACAAAGAATCGCTAAAACTACGCTAATTCGCTGACGTAGTTTGTGCGTCAAAGTTCTTCACTCTAATGCTGTATATCTAAAACAGTTCCTCACCTTAAAGTGAATAGATGCGCTCGAAAGAGAGCAGCATTATTACTAAGTAAATATATAACTCACCAACGCTTGCATTTGTAACTCACTCCATTGCCTCTTTTGCCGGGTAAGGACCTCTGGATTGAATAGATTCCTCTGCGTTCGATCTTTATGATTATTGGGCCATTTAATAGCTTTCTGGAAGCTTCTCTTCAATTTTAGAAAGCTTGTAGAACTTTGCTGGTTTTTAGCTGAAACAACTATAGAGGGGCGGGGTCTCACAGCAGCTGCCGCTTCAACAGCGATTCTTGCCTCCTCTTCTGTTGTTTGAGAGAAGAGCGAGGGGCGCTTCTCAAGCGCCCCCACATTGTTCTGTCCCTCCGCCATCACATGCTTCATCAATCTCTCGATCTCTTTCCTTCTCTCTCTAATGTGCAGGCTGGATCAAAATAACCATCGTATGTCTTGAGAGCATGTCCGATCCTTCATTGCTAAAAAGATGTTACCAAAACATCCACGCAAGCTCGGCCAAATCTTTACATATGCTCATTTCTTGATCCTTGTACCAAGTAATACACTTACTTGCTGTAAAAGACAGCTGAATCTAGAGTATTTATTAACAAACTGGTCCTCCACATAGTGACTATTCACAAACCCTTCCTATACGAACCTCATCCTCCTCCAAATTGGAACTCCTCGGAAACTTAAACCGCTACAGTCTCTTTGCGAAGAAATAGCCTCTCCACTTGATCAATATTCTAGTGGACAAACAATTCGAGTGCGTAATGAAACTAATGGCAGCATGCAGAAGCCACTTCGTCCAATGTTGTGTATACTACACAAATTACAACACTGTAACCATATTTTAACTTCGCAGTTGTCAATATGACAATACGTTCAAGAACAGAATCTTGAATTTTTGATGCACCGGCCTGTCGGAAGGCTCTTAGTTCTTCTCATTAATCAAAGCACCGCATAATCTAGTCATACCTGCATACCGTCAAATCAAAGTCACAGCTGTGCAATTTGGGTGGAAAGAATACAACTCGCTTCAGCAGCACTGAGAGAGCTATTCGCCGATCACAATGTCACGAACTGCGGCATCTGCAGGATAGGCATCCATATTGATCCGGTCAACAATCGAAAATTATGAAGCTTTCGACAATGATCCCCTGAAAAAAGGAGACACATCCGACAGTTATTACATCACCATAGCCCAATGACTTCTACTCCCTAAATAAACTTTTCACGTAGAGAGGATCCGTAACCAACACAGGACCAAGCAGAAGAGATGGACAGTAGCGCAGGAAATATAAGCCTATTATTCAACCGTGTAACTTCAACCAGATTATCAACAATGAAGTGACTTCATTATCCTTTTCCTTGCACGCCTTCTGGCGAGAGAAACACAACCAGATGAAACTACAATCACCTACTAAATTAAACTAAGCGACAAATTACAAGAATTCGGACATTGAGTAAATATTGTTTTCAACCCATTTTCCAAACTTAATCGTAAGCTTCGTACGTACCATCGAGATTAATTGATATTGCATAATAAGGACATTAGACGCTGGTTTCTAACAGAAGATGAACAATCTTCTGTTTCATAACAATCTTCAATCCATGCCGTCGAGAGGATCGACTCTGCTGACAATACCCAGATGACCAAACTGCAAAACTAAATTACAAACCAAATGGCTCCACAGACGATTGAAAACACAACCAAAACGAAGGAAGATATCACTCAAACAAGACTTCGCTAGATTCAAACAGTCGAAAGTTCCATGTCTAGGGCTCCCATTCAAGTTCCGTGCACTGAGCTTCGTGGTTTCGAGCTGCATCGGAAAGTTAGATGGCCCACGAGAAAACAAATTCCAACTTCTTCAGCGTCGAAAACTAAACAAGATGTTTTTTACAGTTCAGGTCCCACTGAAGAGATCAATCTAGCTACTTGAAAATTGAAAATTGGACCGGTCAAACACTAAATACTTATATGTTAGCTAGGTAGTAATCACCTGGACATATGAACAGGCAGCATGTACTGAACGCTAAAACCTTGAGCAAAAATAATAATTAAAGATGTCATTTAAACTCTTAAATACTCAATAAAATGTTGGTTCTGCGTTCAATGAGCCTAAGATATCGAAGTAAGAATACACTGGCGCAAAAGAACCTCGAGGGAGACTCGGCATGATATACCACCGAAATCATCTTCGCAGAAACGTCTGGAGAATAAAGGTTGAGGAACCCAACACAAGACGCACAACGCAGCATCTGCTAACTTCATAGTATTTTTTTCAGACATCACTTCGATCCACCAAACGACTCGAAATTAGTCTCACACTGTCCAGAAAAGTTCGTAATATGGCCTCCCAATGCTCTCAACTGCTCCATCTTATACTAGTACAGCAAATATTTCAATATTCGGGATCTAATTTGTGTGCGAAAATAAATCTTTATAGAATATAAATACATATTAAATACATGAACATAGAAATTTAAATTTAAAACTTCATTTGAAAATTAAAATTGAGGTTAGTTCAGGTTAGTTCCGATTGATTTAAAACAGAAACAAACATTCCCTCCAGCGGCTACAGTCAACGCAGTGATTGAAACACAATATAGCATTCTACGAAATCCTCGTTGCAAAAGCAAGCTGCTTTCCACAATCCATCGTATAGAATGAATCGAAGGTCTTTCGCCTGCATCGTCCGAAGCAACCGCTCGAACGCTTGTCAAAGTCAGCAAAGGAAAATTTAGAGCACGTGAAAAAGTCCACGGTCCAACACTCAAAATTTCCTTAGAAGGAACAAAGACGTCCTGCCATTGCTACCCTAACAGCTAATCTACCTAATACTAAACTCAAGCCAACACAACCTCCGCTCGAAGCATACACACCAAAATGTCCTTAACGTGGCACCAACAATAACGCTCATACCATCTCCTATCAACGCCTTCGTAAACCATCCATCGGTCTTAACTCAACACTCTGCTACTCAAAAACCACCAAACTGCAACTCACAGCCTACTTTCCTCAAGACCGAGCCACATCAAAAACCACCAAACTGCAACTCACAGCCTACTTTCCTCAAGACCGAGCCACATCAAACAACTCCCAACACCTCCCTCAAGCAGGCATCGATCACAAAAACCAAAAACCGCAGACCTCTCAATCGAATCCAAACAAACCGGCCACCAATTATCCGTCACTCGGTTCTTCCACGCCCAGATTGCAAAAACAAACCATCTCAGGTCCTCAACCCGCCACAAAACAAACCAGAAAACCAAACTTCGCCACCACTTTCCACCACAGCGGCTTAACTTCAAATCACCTGCTCTCAGTCCGCCCTCGCGACTTAGGATACCAAACCGCGATCACAAAACTCACATGAAAGGTGATAGCAGGACGCATACTCGCTGCTCTCAACTGCTCGGAACGTCGAAAGAATAAACACTTCCATGAGCTTCGTGCAAAAGAGAAAAAACCAATGGAGCATGTTGCAGAGGGGATTGCAGAAGCGTGCCAGCGGTGCAGCATTCATCCGAAACCAGCGGACATCGGAGACTCACCCTCTTGACACGATCGATTGCGCCCCTGCTCAGTCGTCAGGCACTGTCTTCTCTGCATTTCCCCGGCTTTCCCCCGCCCCCGTCCCCCCTCCCTTCCAGTAGCCATAGCTGCAAATGCGCCTGCAACGCTCCCGGTTATGGCGCTCAAGCTGGTGCGCCTACACGCGAGGAAGATTCTGTTGCCCTAATTCCAACACATTACACCAACGTGTACATTCTCGGAGCCTCTACACGTAGATGCTCCGTCCGCAACTGCTTCCCGCCACCCTTCGTGGCTGAATCCTACGTGGAGGGATGTGATTTGCAAAGACCGGTGCCGTTCCCAAGTGGCGTATTTCGCGCCGCGGGTATAAATGCCTCTGCACCAACAACGCTCACCGCAGGTTTGAAGAGTGTAAATGAATGAATGTGCAACAGAAGCGTTGAATGGGCCCTTATTTGTTGGGTAGTAATTTATGGGTTTCCTTTGAAGTTTTCTTTGCTTTGTCATTCTGAAGTAGAGCCATTGCGTTCACACTGTGTTCTCATCCTTGAGTACACAAGCCCATACGACACTAGTGGTTATTGGAATGTTCCATGGACCTAGAATTCAGCCTCAAAAGGTTGTAAAGCTAGTAACAAAAATATGTAAGAAATAGAAATTCATGATGTGGGTTCTTTGCTTGTAAACTTCCAAAAGGGTTTTTTTTTTTCAAAATAAACTGCGGTTGTTGTAAATATTGAAGTCTTAGATGCATGAAAAGTTAAGCCTTTGGTTGATGAGTTTTAATGCGGTATCTCATTCAAAGACGAGTAATTTTCTAAAATATTTTGAGATAAGCTGGTTTTTAGTCTGATCATTTTAGGTATTGTTAGCGAGGATGATTTATGATTTGTATTTATTTATTTATTTATTTATAAATTACATGAAACCTTTGATGGGTTGTGTTTGATATTTATGCCTGAAAAATCTTCGTTCTACTAGTTTAAGTTCGGACAACAATTAATGGGTGAAGAAAATATACCCACCATGAGAAATATTATATGTGCAGTTTATTTATGATTTATACTTTTTGGATGCTTAATATCCAGAAGAATGAAAAGCAAACGTATGTGTGATTTTTTGCATTGCAAAATTATTTGTTATGATTGTAATTCATGTGGACGTAATTTATTGAACCAAAGAAAAAACTCCACAGCTTTTCAACAGTTTCTTAAACTGTATATGTGTCTAAAATTATTTGAAATATATATAAGAAGAAAAAAGGGAAAAGAAAAAAGTAGCTTATGATGAGAGCAACTAATTTTCATTATAAATGAAAAACATGTTGAACCACTAACATAACATTATAGTGATACAAAAATTCGAAACCATAATCATCAAATCAATGTAGAGAGCCAACTTACATTGAAACAAGGATACATCGGAATGTTGTTTTGATATACATGTAAACTTGTCAACTTTAAAACTGATTTACTCACGACAGCAAATTTACATAATTTAGGTGTGTATTGTTCTGTCATTTTCGAAATCATAGGTTAATCTAATTGAAAAGAAAGCTTTTAACAATTGAATGAGTATATATCACTCCTACTGACACAGCTTTCAAATTTATATTGTCTCCTTTTCTTTGTCTTTTCTTGTGGAAATGATCAGACTAACGCCCATACAATGCACAAATTATACACATGCTACACATCTTCAAAATTTAAATTGTTTTGAATGACACCATTACAACACTAATCACATTGTATCAAATTATATATGTGTGTGTACATTTCATAGATAAGTTAAATGTTTGTACATATTTGGTGAAACATTCAAATTTTAAAGTTAAATACACTGTAAGTAACATATAAATTACACAATTATTTATAACTTAATATTATTGTAGACTTGTAAATACAAGTGTGATACAAAATGTTTGTATCAGTGTGATGTCTTTAGTGTAAAATATATATCTATATGAAAATAGAGCTGATTGCTACAATTAGATTATGATTCTTTAAAGTTTCTAGTTTGCTGTTTTCATTTATTTGATTAAATATTTCACCCTGAGACATGAATGAAGTGACTTAATTGTTTTTGTGACCCATCCTCAGCAAGAAAAAGATATCATTAACCATGAATTATAAACTTGATTTTTCAAATAATCATGCAGTCAATAAGATTTTCAAAATACCAATTATTCGAAATTTGTTATATTTTAAAAAAGATCAAGCCTAAATTGAAGAATCTTCATGCTGTATTAGCACCACTAGGAGGTATCTTTTGATTACACAAGCATACTATTTACAATACTACTTGAAATTACATCATATTTCCACAACCTTTTGTAGGGCAAGAGAAACCTCATGTCACACAACAAATTAAAATTGAAGTAGTGAAAACACTTTGTAAGACAATGCTTGAATAACTTTTCTCCTGCACAAGTTATAAAAAGAGAACCATCATATGAACTCATGATTTTTTAACTTCTTCAAAGCTACCCAACTTCAAATGCTTAGATTTATTTCCACAAAGAGTGAACATTGATGTGGGCACACTATGTTGAACTCTAACCATAAAACTTCAGGGCCTGGCCCAACAGGCAAAAATTAGACAAAATCGATCCTACAATTTGGCAATGAATGAGTATTAAGCTTGCTACCAATTTTGGGCTGGCACTTTTGATCACGTTAGAACTGGTAGTTTGGGCAAATTGGGCTCGATTTCCCCAGTTTTTAATCAGATGATAATCCATCAGTAGCAACCGCAGTGCTGAAGCGTCACCCCATCTCGACTTCTTCACCCGTAGTTCTTTCATTGTTTGAGGCGTTCCTTCATTCTCACCCGCAAGATGCAAAACCCTTCAGGATTTACCGTAAACTTGTGGAATCCTTGAGCAAATTTCGATCCACGAGCTCGAGAAATGCAGAGGACGGTTAAAGAAGAGGAATGCCGTACGCCTCAAGGGGAAATTATTCTGGATTGTTCGTCAACGACATTGGGTGCATGGCGTGTGGAGGGAACCCGGTCACCGAGGAATCAGAAAGCCGTCTGGAGGGTTTAGCAACTCTCAACGTCGCGGACGGAGTTGCAACGCACATCATGCGAGGGAGGAAGTAGTAGCAAAGCTGGTGTCGATGAGAGAAGTGAGAATTGTCCTGCATGCGTGTGTCCGGATTGCTGAACATCTGTTGCTTTTCGTCGCAAGCGGCGTACAAACCAATAAACCCCTCTCAACGTTTCTCGTCAGAAACGCAACCCCATTGGAATGGTTGGTGCCTAAGGGGGGGCCAGCCCACCAGTCGATGACTGAGCATGCAAAGACAGTTCCTCTCTTGGATCATTGCGACTATGGTAGGTCTGATCTCCTGATGATGAGCAATGCTGTGGTGACTGTGGTGGTGGAGGAGGATTCACGAGGTGAAAAAGAAGCCCCCCCACCCCTCCCCACCCGCCACGTCGGATGCTGACATGGACGATACGGTGGTGGTGGAGAAGAAGCCCCAACCCCACCCCTCTGCCACGTAGGATGCTGATGTGGACGTTGCAGAGTCGCAGGTCCTTTGCTTGCATACTTCAGTAAAATATATTTTGTCATCACTGCATTTGTTGTTGTTGAACCCATGACATAATTGTTTTAGAATACAACTTTTCTCTTTTTCTGCTTTTTTTGTTTTTTTCATTTTAAATGTGGTCTGAAATATGTTCTGGGTTACAATTTTATTCTGATTTGTTTTGAAGGATGCCATGAAATTTTGTGGAAAGACTTGAGACATGAAAATGGCTTGGCTATTTATTTACATGTGTATGTATATATGGATATAAGAAGTGTTGAGAAAAGAACTCTTTAAGTAGTTGCTAATGGTCAATAGAGTACAAGTGTTGTTAAGGATATCCCATAAGGTAGGGTGCTGGTCTATAGTGCATTAGAGTACAAGGGGAGGGCTGGTCCTAGGAGATATCCCATATGGATTGTAGCACTTGGTACCTTGGTACTAGTATATAAGGAAAGGGTTGGCATGGGAAGAATTATCTCATATCACACTCTATTTGTTATAGTGCAACCTTGCTGGTCCTAACTTACTTGTGTGGAGTATGCTTTCTATGTTTCAATAGGTTATGGGCCCACATTCTCTTACCAAGTAAGTTGTTCTTGTATTTTATTTTCTTTGTTGCTTGTTTGGTGGTTGAGATCTTATGGTATAGTATTACTAGTGTTTTGCTGAAGTCATTACTCCTGGATTTGTGAGTGTATGAAGTTAGTGCAAGACCTTGATAGTGTCTTTGCTGAAGTAACACTAGTATTTGAGAGTTTTATGAGAAATTGAGTCATTTTGAGTGAGGTGATGTGAGGGAGATGTTTGAAAGCCATAGAATTACATGAAATAGCATTTTCCACCATTTAGACGTGATTTGGACTCAAAGTATGCAAAAAGTTGCAAAACAGCGAATTCTGAGTTTGTAGTTCAGCAATCTTTGAGTAGTCATATCTTTTGCATTACAACTCCAAATCAAGAGATTTTAGGACCTACTTGTAGCTTGAGATGGCATCTTTTGAGAGTGATAGCTTAAGAATGGTAGAAAAGTTTAGAGGTGACAACTTTCACCACTTGAAGGCCAAAATGGAGCTACTTTTGGCGTCATTGGATCTTTGGGAGATAGTATGTGAGGAGGAAGAGGCATCTGGATTAGAGGCAAGCATGAAGGAGCAAAAGGACTTCAAAAGGCGAGAAAAGAAGGCTTTTGGCATAATTGCCACCAACTTAGATGAA